TATCTATGATAATAGCTGAGGAAGTGATATGTAGGTGCAGATATGAAGAGAGTCTGTGAAAAGTCTCTTCACTTCTCAGTGAAATATGAAGCTTGGTCATCTGCTTGTAAGAATGGGGCAGGAAGTATTTGAGGTTTGAGGACAGAAGCGAAGGTATGAAGTAATCAGCTAGGAGAGTTGGGAGTGAATTGAATATGGAAAGGTACCAAGACCCACCAGAGTTTTGCTCTCACAAAGTAAAATGATTTGAATTAGAGTGACTATGTATATGTAGGATAATCTGGTGGGAGAAAAAAATGAATCCAGTTTTAGTCTGTCACCACTCAGTTGTTCCTTTGCCCTACTCATACCACCCCTCGTTGTCCTATTACTCTTGAAGACATGCTCTTGAACAAACTACAAAAGAAAAAGTAAAACAAACAAACAAACAAAAGCATTGCAACAAACTTAAGAGAGCAGTTCCAAACGTGTGCCCTGTGGCCACATGGAATATTTTTAAATTGTGAGGGAAACACAGCGACATCTTTTGGACACTTTATGAACTACTAGCTCAAGGTAGTTCACAGTTTCATTATTACACAGCGCTACGTTCCTTTCCATTACATAATTTCATTGTGAATATGAGTTTGTTAGCTGTTGCTGAAATAAAAGTGAGTACTACACAAAAATCAGTAAAATGTCCAACCTTTTGAAAAGTTGTGTAGTGCCCTATTAATAGGGACATACATCCCACTAGTAAGTAATTGTGGTTATTTAAGAATTAAATTAAAAAATATGTATTTTTTCAATTTATATATTTTTTCAAACATCTTCTAAGTTATTTGATATTAAATTGTTTGGACCTAAGCTACTAATATTCAGAATTGTTAGCTATTTATTTTGGCCTAGGGGTGCAGTGAACAAATTAGAGAACACTGAGAAAGTTTGGAAACCTCTGACTTAAGGATAAATTCCTGTTGCTTTTCCATTTCTTCCAAGTAATGGAAGGCCCTTGAGGGGTGTAGTTGTGTGCAGTAGAACTAGAAAATTCTCAAACCTAAGTCAAAATCTTGCAGGGGATAGCTTATGACAGTCTTTCCATCCTGCCCTCCCAAGTTTTCTCATTACCTTCACACTTGAGCCTAATTTCCCTCCCCAGTTTTAATGCATATGGTTACACCACCAGCATGTGTTGTAACTCAGATATTTAAAGCCAAGAGGAAACACATGCCTCTCAGTTTCGTCAGAGTCTTGTGTCTTTGAAAGAAACCAGACCGTGTGGGTCACCAGGAGACTTGACTTAGATTTTCATCATTTTGCCAATATCCACTCCAAATCAGTAATTCTTGATACATGGCTTAGGATAAATAACTGTGGCCTCAGAACTGCTTTTGTTTTATCCAGCAAAGATACCAGTAGCATATGCATGTGTATTGGGGAACTGAGATACCATCAGGCAGTGTTTATGTATATGTGCATGTGTCCAAGTGTGAGCTTCCCAAGTCAAGATTTGTACTTTGTTAATTTTTGTTAGGTCTGGTACCCAGGACCAGGCCTTACATATGGTAGACAGAGAGTAAATGGAAATTAATAAATTAATGTTATCTGATTTGCATGAACAGATGTGCCGTAAAAGCTAAAGAAGCTTGAGCACAGGGCCCCAAAGATTTGTAAAAGTAAGATATTTTAACTGCAATTAATTAAATATTTTATCTCATTCCACTTTGACCTATCCTCTATCACATCTGACTTCATGTATGGTGAGATTAGAAAGGCTGAAAACATTTTTGGGATTGGGCTGTGGGGAAGTTGAGTTAGGATACATTTAGTTCGGATTTAGTGGGCACATAATGACTGACTTTCACTTTTGTCTGTAGTTATGCTAGCCATCTTGGTGTAGAAATAGGCTCCAGGAATCCTTCACATCCCAGGTTGGGACATGAGGGTGTAGGGCAGGGGCTCATTCACATTAAAGCTTCCTGCAGCGCCCAGAGCAGGAGGAATGTACGTTAGAGGAGAAAAAAGACTTGGGAGGTACGCTATAGGAAAGCGGACTTTGGAAGTCTTCCATTCATCAGGTGTGTAAAATTATAAGCTGATAAGTCCTTCTTTACAATACCTAGTCAAAATGGATGTTCTCTTCCAACAGAAGGAACACTCAAAAAAGCAGAGCACACCCAATACATTTACTATACTTTCTTTTTCAATGCGGATTGCATGACATAGAGTTTACCACAGATTGTTTCTTGGGTACAAACCTATACCAACACCATAAACAGCAAGGGCATCTGTGTGTGAACTAACACATTTTACACATCTCAACTTGTCAGCTCGCATCTTACCGTATTTAATGTATCCTGTTCTGATGAAGTCTGGTTGCAGATGAAATAGTATATAAAATGCCACTGAATCAGGAAGTGCCTGAATTTTCTAAATTGTCAATAATAAACATTTGATCAACCACTAGACGACTGGTTTACTTTTGATCTCTATATAAAAAAAATATTACAAAATTGTTTTATGAAGAAATGATCAAAGAGTATGCAGCCAAAAAATGTAGGAAAAATGTATATTAAGTAGTTAATAAAAACACTTTTTCTGGACTCATGATGGTTTAGGTTTGATCGGCTTTATAAAATTTGAAATTTGTATTTTCTTTTCTCACTCTAAATGATTAAGTCCTTTCATATCTAATTTGGCATTCAAATTCTTGTAATGGTTTTCTATTGACAAATAGACATTTAATGTCTCAGTGCTAATTCTTTACAAAAACTAGTCACTCAATCCCTCCCTATCATTTATGCTAAGACATTTTGCTATTTCAGCTCTAACAGCTCTAACTATATAACAGCTCTATAGCTATTAACAACTCAAATTTGTATTTTCAGAAGTGACAGGCAATCACTGAAACAATGCATTTTATTTTAAATGATGCATACTGTGTGATCTATTTGAAGGCCTTTAAAGGAACAATTAGGAATCTAAAGTTAAATAATTTCAATCTGTCAATGGGGACACTATCAGCAAAACATAAGTTGTGGGAAACTCTACAGAATAAAGAACTCGGTTTCTTCAATTTGAAAAATTGCATGGAAAAAAGTGGTAGAATAGGAAACCTATGGATTAAAAGAGACTTAAAAGAGCTGGCACAATGTGTGGCTTTCTTTATGTCCCAATCAAACTGTTAGAAAATGACGTTTATGAGATAGTTGGAAATCATCTCACTGAATATTTGATATCAAGATATTACTGTTTAAGATGTGAGATGGTTATGTTAAAATAGTTCTTAACTTACAGAAATATATATTTATAGAGAAAATTATGTGTGATTTGCTTTAAAAATAATAGTGGAGAAGTGAATAAAGTTTGAGGTTGGGTGAGGGGTACAAAGAGTTCCATCACACTATTCTCCCTTTTTTTGTGTGTATGTTCAAAATTCTCTATAATAAAAAGTATGAAAATATTAGATCTGTTTATACAACCCAAAGGACATGACTCATATAAGTTACCATGACCATCATATTGATGACAGAATCTATTACATGGTTGTAGTGCATGTCTTGAGAAGTTAAAGCCTTATTGTTAACATCAAGAAGTAAAAATGATTTCACTGTTTTTATTACTAACATTAAAACTTTTGTGTAAATATAGTGTAAATATAGTAAATAACAGTAAAACTTTTGTGTATAGTATTAGATATTTTACTTAGTAAAAAAATGGAATGTTTTATAATTTTTTATTTTATTAAGCTTGCCCAAATATTCCAAGCGTCGTAAATACACGTTTTAAAAAGATCAGGTAGCATTTGTAATAGAGGGGGCACTGTTATCCCTGGCATGAATGTAAGGTGATATGAAAAACTGTCAGTTGTATTGTCATTGTAATAACAAACCAATTATTATAGAATTTTTAAGAGCCAAAAGATGTTTTCCAAACGAGACCAATACTTTATTAACATACCAGGAATAAGCCAGTACAAATATATTTTTAATTTAGTGCTAAAAATCTCACCGCTCTCACCTTTACCCTCACCTCCAATCCCACACTTCTGGGTTATTCTTCCAATAGTGGGCAGCAGAAGGGCATCAGCCCTGAGGGCAAAGGTGAGGGTAAACTGCTGGTAGTGCTCCAGATTACACTCCACATTCACAATCACCTCTGTCAACAGGTGAGCCCGCTCTACTTCCAAGACAGGGGCCTTGAAGCCCAGGGCAGTGAAGTACATGTGCAGGTGGTAGTAGGGCAGGTAATGCAGGTACACTTGGAAGCGGTATCCTTTCACTTGGCAGCACTGCAGGATGGCTTCCTGCCCTTCCTGAAAGATGTCCCTGATCAGTGATAGATGCTCTAAAGTGAGGTCCCAAAGCAACGTGATGCTCTGGTGATGGCAGATGGCGATCCGGTACAGGCCGCTGCTGTGGGCTCCGCTCCAGGTCAGGGATGAGGACTAGCCATGAGAAGGATCTGAGTTCTCAAGATCAGTACTTACTCCTGTATTTTGTGACATTTGACATTGTTGAAACTTCACTGCTATTTGAAACTCTCCCTTTAGTCTTCATGCCTTCCTAACTTTCTGGTCATTCTCTCATATGTAAGCTACATTTTCTCCAATTCACCCTTCAGTCATTGGCACGAGGTGGGAAGAGGGCTTTCATATCTGTGGTCCTCTCCTCTTGGGATTGCGAGGAGGCAGCATAAACTAAAGGGAGATGTCATGCATAGCAGCACCAAACCCAAAGTCATCTGCTTTCTCATCCTAGCTTCCCAGGACAACTGTGTACTGCAGAAATAAAATATGTCAGTTTAGAAAACACTTCATGAAGAAACCATTTGACTTTATATGATTTTATTTTTCACAGAATAGCACAATAACAGCCAGTTTTCCATTTCAGATGAATATAGATATGGTCATGTCGATTTCAATGAACCGGGTTGAAGGACTCTAAGATCGACCCCAACAACTTTCTGGACGAACTCCATATGTTGCAAGAACTTGAAATCTTTGCCACTAGGGGGACTCTGAAATTTCTCTTCCTTAAAGTTTTTTGGGGAATAGTCCAGCGAATGGTTTTGGGTATCATCTCCAGTGAGTCTGCTGGTATACAGGCATAAAAAAATGGCTGGTTTTGTTTTCTTTCAGGATGGAAGTTGATATCCTCTTGATGAGGTTTTGATGCCAACTTACGTTTGCTTGGGAAATAATCTGCTCTTTCTGACTCATAATCACACCCTTTCTTCTTTCTTGTGAGTTTTTCTTTACTCTGTGTGTAATTGTAATCACAGTCCCAATGAACACTCTTTTTAAATAAGTCAAATTTGGCTTTCTTTCTTTCTTTGGTTTCTGGCTGACCGTAAAATTCACTTTGGGTTTTTGCAAGATGTAATTTAATATTTGATTCCGTTAAGGGAGCTAAAGAGTAATTTGTTTTGTTTTTTGTAATCCATGAAAGCGTCTCTTCACTGAATGAAACAGAAGATGATGCAAACGGAACTTCAATAGTGCTTAGTGATCTGTGACACAACCAATCAGGAGATGGCATTTTAGAGGATGATCTATATTTCTTGCTTTTGTGGGATTTGTAGAAAGGTGGTGTCACAATTGAGGAATGTTTTCTACAGTCTCTACTATGATGGGAACCTGAATCTTCACCGTAAAATGATTTCAAATCAGTTTTGATTTTTTTCATCAAAGGAATGCCTTTCTGTAATTCAAACAGAATGTTTTGTGATTCCTGAATTAAAGGGTTGGCTTGTAAAAACATACATTCTTCACTCTCATGTACTTCAAGAGCTGAGAATTCTTCCAAGTTAGTCGAACTCTCAGTATATATCTGACTATCAGTAAAATCTTCAGAAATCTGAATTGAATGAGAATCAACTAAACTGGGAGCATTTTCTTGAGTCTTTAAATCAAAAGATTCATGTGTATTTGTTTCTTGAAAAGATACATGATATTGTTTTTCTTTTTCTGCAGTCTCATAAGATTTTAACACTGAAAGAACTGTAGTATCTTCTTTTTTTGTTCCACCTTGTTCAAGGTCAGGAGCACACCCATGAGTTGGCTCCAGGAATTGTTTGAACCATGATGAGTTTTCATGGGGACTTTGCTTTTTGAAAGAGATATGTTTTTCTAACGGCTCTGTATCAATGGAAAGACTACCACTTTCTCCACTATTATCTACTTTTTTACATATTGCAACTGTGTTTAATTTAAGAATATGTTTGGGAAGTGTATTTGGTTTAGGGAACATACTTTCGACCGGAAGCCCCAGGAGAAAACGAAGGCATTTGTATTGTAAATCAAGATGTATTTGATGAAGAGATTTTTCCTCAAAAAGTAATAGAATTCTGTTTTTTGGTTTTGGTACGTCAACACAAGAATGAATGCATTTAGGTGAAGGTTTCCTTCTCTCTTGAGCATCTGCCATTTCATAAGATTCCATTACAATTCTGGGGAAGACTTTCATTTGAATCTCCAACGTTTTTATCGAAAAGTGTACGAGAAGTTTGTCTTTTTCTTCTACTGAGTAGTTTTGCAGAATATGAGGCGACGACATTTCATTAGCAGAAGTCAGGAAAGATGTTCCACTTTCTAGCTTATTAATACTCTTCAACTTTGTAATGATCTCCTTGCTGCCACTTGAAACATTAACAGTCAGTGTCTTCATACAGCTGATATACGGTGAATCTTTTTGGTATTTGTGTTTTAAGTTAAGGGTGATAGTATCAATCCCTTCCAGAGACATAAAGTACATTTTTTTATGTCTTGGATAGAGCCTCCAACTGTTATCTTCCACAATAGCCTGTTTTGTCGAAAAGTTGAACTTTTGGAAGGATTGTTTTGCCGTCTCTGGTATCAGATTCAGTTTTATTTCAAGTGCTTTTGACTCTAAATGATTAGTCAGCTTATTTTTTAATTTGGGAGTAAAACATTCCAAAATGGATTTTGGATGCAATTTAGGATGTGTTATTGGAGATGTTGGATGTGGCCCCCCTGCAAAAGGTGGTAACTTCCAAACATCAGGTTTATGGGCTTTCAGTTTTTCCAGTATATCAGCATAAACTTTGTCTTGGATCATATTTTGTATCTGGGATTCAAAAACATTTTTAATTGCTTCATAAAGTGGAAGTAAACTTTCTGCACTTGTACTATCTGCCACGATTTTTATTTCATTACTTTTAATTTGGAGCGGTATGGGTACAGTTTCTGGGAAAGTGTTTTGTTGCTGGTCCTTTTGTGTGGTTGTGTCCTGTACAAGATCACCATGATCCCTCTGCTCAAGTGGTGAGGCATGCTCCACGATATTGAGTGGCCGAGTCTCATGTTCTGGTTCTTCTACTCCTGGAGGAGAAATAGTTATATATAGGGTACATTTCACGTGGGTTTCCACATTTTCCTTTGGATCTTCAGACATGCATGGATACTCTGTGGGTGTCAGGATGGATTTTGGTGCCTTTTCTTCCTGTCCAATCATAAGCAAGTCAGGTTCTTTTATGGTCTTTAAGATATCATGCCCTGGAACAACCCTTTCTTCTGTTTGTGGAGTTAAATTATTTTTATGTATTTCACTGCTGAGGCTTGCTTCTGATTTGACATTAGGAAGTTTTTGCATTTGCTGTTGGTCCACCATAAAGGGCTGGGAATCTTCTGGAACTATCTTTGTAAAATTCTGGTCCCGCTTTTTTACATTCTTTGAGTTGTTCCTCTTAACAATTTTACTCACATTTGGTGATTTCTCCTGGGACTTAGAAAGACAGGTTCTCTTTTCTCTTTCTAGGTTTTTCTCAGATTCTGTTGTTTCTTCTGTATGAGATGGACTCATTACAGAAACAGTAAGACTTCTGATAAATATTCCTGAGGTACCTTTACTCCTCAAAGCCATTTTCTTTGGTTTGTTAAAGCCATACTCTAATTTCTTTCTATTGCTTGGAGTACCACGTCCTGTGTTGCCAAGAATCTGTAAAATTGGATGCTTTGGGATTTTCATAGTTAAAGTTTGGGGGCTCAATTCTCTTTTCAAATCTGCTATTGTTAATCTGCCTTTCTGGCCTTCAAATTTGTGATAAAGAGGAATATAGGCATAAAATGAATCTAGAACATGTTTTTGAAACGATTTTTGTGGTTGAATGTTTTGTTTTGTACCAGACATTTCTTGTTTCTTTTTATATTTTTGCTTGATTGGACAGCTGTTTGCTGTATGAGTGATTACCTGAGTCTTAATATGAGATTCCTCTGCTTTTAAAGAGGAAACATTCAGGTTTACTGGAGTGCTTGTGTGCATTTTTATTTTCTCCCTCTCCAGATTGACAATGGTGTGTTTCTGCATTTCTACTTCATCCTCTTTCAGAAGGATAGCTATGTTTGTGTCTATTTTTAATTTCTCATCTTCCATTTCTAATTCTTTTTGCTTCATATTTATAGTCGTTCTTGTGTCCATTTCATATGTTTCCTTCAGATCTCCCGATTTAAGTGAAAAAGTCCAGCAGGGGGAAGGAGACTTCTGAAGCGATTCTAGAATGCCTTTCTCTTGTTCTGGAATAAGCAATGCCTGCTCTTTTTTCCTTCTTATTGTATCAAACTCTGTAACATCCATATATATTCCTGATTGTATTTGCATTCTGGGGTACCCTGTAGTTTGCTTGTGTGTACCTTTTCCCAGTGAGGTCTTCTGCTTTCCATTTTGAAGTGGAAACTTATGAGAAGGGCTAGAGTTTAGCCTGGTCTTGTGTCCACTCTCAGCCCACTGTGCCACTTGCTTTTTCATGACAGTTTCTTGTTTTTCTCTATTTGGGTGGGTATTTGACTCTGTGATATTCATTTTCTTAAGTGATCCCTTTATCTCTGGTGCTAACATTTTGGAAGAGAACATTTTGCTTCTTTTATCATTACCGTGTACATCTTTCTTTGGCTTATCAAATTTACATGAATCTGCAGATCCTAGAGATGCTTTTAATAAAGTTTGGTGGTCATCTCCCTCTGAAACAGAAAGTCTTTTTGAACTTACAGGGGTGCCAAATGTGACAAATATTTCCTTGGATATTTTCTTTGTCAGTGGAACTAAAGCCTGAGGACATATTTTGTGGTTTAAGTTATCCATTATTTTAGTTTCTTTCTTCAGATTTTCAATTTTCATTGGATCCATTTTGGGGTAGGAAATAAATGTAGTGCAAGTTTCTGTTTTATACTTTTCTGGCTGAGCCTCTAGCCCCGTAAAGAAACATTTCAGCCCTTTTCTACTTCTTAGAGTGCCAAATCCTGTGAAATAAATGTCCTCATGCTGTGAATTTATAATTAACTGACTCAAATCTCCTTCAGATTTGACTCGAGGAATTTCATTCCTTCGCTGTACACTAATCATGAACTTTGAGGGCCACTGGTGCACTGCCTCTTCTCGTGGCAAAAACTGTGTTTTCTTTTTAACACTTTTACTATTACAAGAAATTGACTCTCTAATTGCTGTCTTCTGGGTATCTGTTGATTCCTGGACATTTTTCTGTGGAAAAGAGGATCCTGTAATTCTTGGTGCATCTTTGTCTGTTTTGCCTCCTGAATTTAGATAAAGGGAAGATGCTGATGGAATGGAAAGAAAAGTCCTTGTCAGAACCATGCATGGTTCATCTTTACCTTTGGGCACTTTTTCCTTCAGCTCTTTAATATTCAACACAATTTTTTTTGTATTAAAGATATGTGAAATTGGTGGAATCCTTGCCTCTTTCTGTTGTATCCTGATCCTCATATCTACTGTTCTCACTTCATACATTTCTCCTTTCTGCGATACATGTCGTTCTCTGTTTCTTACATTGCCACTAGTTGCCTCTGTATCTTCTGTCTTCTCTGCATTTGATAATGCTGAAAGCATTAGTGGAAGTAGACAGGGTCTCTTAATTCCAAGCTCTTCTTCATCTACTTGTGTACTTTTATCCAAGTCAAGGTTAGTTGGAGGAGGTTTGGAAACATAAACTTTTCTTAGCACCACACTGGGTGGTTTACTTGGACCTTCATGTTTCTTCTGTTCTTGCCTTCCAATATTCAGATTCAATTCTGGGCTATGAAGTGTGTATGGAGGAGGTGATTTCTTTGACTTCAAATTTCCATCAGTGGTATGCTTCATACCTTTCATAGCTACAGTTTCTTTTGTATCCCTCTCTTCTTTCTGAGGCATATGTTTTTTCTTGTTTTGAACATCTTTCATGGTATCACCAGAAATTGTCTCATTATGTACTATTTCCTCTGCAGTTGATATTCTCTGCAAGACAGATCTTTTAAGTACTAGCATTTCATCATCTACTTGTATTTCTTTATCCAATTTGAGGTTAGGGCGAGATGGTAATGAAGTAGAAGACTGGGTGAGAAGCATACCTGGTTCATCTTTACTTTCCTGAATCTTCTTTTCTTGAAGTTTGGAAAACATGAGGTTTTTTGCCTGCACTCCATCCTCTTCCTTGTTCTGTGGCATACATTGTTTTTCTTCTTGTGAACTGATCAAATGATCACTCATAATTGGTCCCACATTTACCACTTCCTCAGAATATGATAATTTATGGAAGTTTACTGGGGAAACAGATCTCGTTAATGTCAGCGTGCTCTTTTCCTTGATCCTGATATTCATGTTAAGGTGAAGTGGAGAAGGCCTAGAAGTACAAGTCTTAGATGGCATTGTACTAGCTGGCTCACAAGTAACTTCCTGAACTTTTCCCTCTTGCTCTTTAGTTTCCCACTGAAGTTTACACAGATTGTATTTAAGTAAAACAGGTGACTTCTTTGCATTTAAATACGTATCATTGGGATCCACTATACCCTTCACATCCAGGTTTTTCTCTCTGTCTTTTTCTTCTTTCTGTAGCTTATGTTCTTTTAATTCTTTTACATCATTGCAAAGGTTTCCATCAATTGTTTCCGTATATGCTATTTTCACTGCATCTGATGATTCCTTGGACTGCAATTGTGGAAGAGGCAATTTTGTAATTCTTATCATGTACCCCTCTCGTTCTGCTGTATCAAATTTAAGATATGGTAGAGTAAGTAAAGAAATACAAATGTTTTTCACATTCATAACTAGTTTATCTTTATCTTCCTGTACCTTTCTTCTTTGCTCTTTCCTTTTACACTTCAAGTCTTTGGTATTGAGTATATGTGGTAATTTCTTTGCCTTCAGATCCATAGATGTTGGGAACATTTTGTCTTCAATATCTATTTTGAATCTATCATCTTCTTTTAACATATAACCATCAAATGACTTAGTATATGCTTTTTTGCCTGAATTAGATGGATCCTGACTCTTTAATAGTGGAAAATAGAATTGTGTTATTCCTAGTGTGTCTTCCTTTTTTTCCATTCCAGTGTCCTGTTTCAGGTGAGATGGAAAAGGTAAGGAAACATAAGATTTCCTCGGAAACATTTCTGGCTTACCTTTTTTCTGCACATCTTTCACTTGCTCTTTAATATTCAAATGTCGCTTTCTACTGAGTAGGTGTGTAAATGAGAATGTCTCTGCTTTTGAAGTTAGTTTGGAAAATATTCTACCTTTCTCACCTTCTATTACTCTATTCATTGCCTCTTTATGTGACATACATTGATTAGCTTTTATTATTACATTACATGAGATAATACCTTTATTGGAATCTGCATATTTGATTTTCCCTGCACCTGATGATTCAGGGAGCTGTAATTGTGATGGAGAGAATTGTGTAATTACAAGCAAGTCTTTGTCTACTTTGGTTTTGTTTTGTACTTGGTCCTTTTCTTTCTGTGGTAGATGTCCTTTCTCTACATGGCTATCAATTAACTTTGCAAAGGCTATTCGCTCCGAAGGCAACGATTGTTGGAGCTCACTATATGGCACATAATTTTTTATTATTCCTGGTTCACATTCCTCTTCCTCTATTGTGTCCAACTTAAGATTAGTTAAAGAAGTAACAAAAGGACAAACTTTGCTCAGAAGCACGATTGTCTCTTTGTTATCTTTCTGCATCCTTTTCACTTGCTCTTTGATTTTCATTTGCAGATCTTTTGTTTTGAGTATACTTTGGAAAAGGGGTGGTTGTGCTGACATGGGAGTTAGTATGTCTTTCTTAAAAATATGTGCTTTAGCCTCTTCTTTCTGTGGCACATACTTTGTTCTTTTTGGATCGCTTGAGATATCATTCGAAGGTGACAGTGTATATTTTAATTTGTCTGCATCTGCTGATTCCCTGTGCCATAAGGGTGAAAGAAATGATCTTTTTACTTCTTGTTTTTCTTCCTTTCCTTCTATACCTTCATTTAATTTAAATTGAGGGAGTGAAGGTCTTGTCAGAACCTCATCTAGTTCACTTTTTCTTTCCTGTATGTGTCTCGATTTTGCTTTTATGTTTGTCTGTACTCTAATTTGGGGGGCACAACCCCTAGGGGTACTGAGTACATGTGGAAGTGGTAATGTCTTTGCCTTGGAAGTTGTACCTTTGGGGTATATTATGTGTTTCATATTTACTGTTTTTCCTCCATCCTTTCTGTTCTGTGGCTCATAGTCTTGTCCTGTTTTCACATTATTTGTCATGTCATCCCCAACTGACTTTGTATATGCTACTTTCCCTTTATCAACTGATTTCTGTAGCTGTAGTTGTGAAATGGCAGATCTTGTTATTCCTTGAATGTCTTCCTCTCCTTCTATTCTTGTGTCCAATTCATGATGAGTTAGAGAAGATTCAGAAACCCAATGTGTAGGTAGAACTACTTCCTGCTCACCTTTAACTTCTCCATCCCTTTTCCCCTCTTCTTTACCTTCTGCATCCATTTTCCTTTGCTCTTCACCTTCTCGATCCACTTTCCCCTGCTCTTTAAGATTCAGTAGCCTGCCCTGTGAAAGTGCTTTTTTTCCTTTCAATTCTTTATCTTTTGGATGCATTATGTCTTTCTTGGCTGATATCTTTACACTCTCTTCTTTCTGCAGCATGCATTCTTTTGCTTCTTGTACATCACTTGTGATATCACCGTTAGTGGACTCTGTCTTTGCTTTTTTCACTGCATCTGATGATTTCTGGTGGGACAGTTCTGGAAGAGGGTATCTTGTTACTTCAGTTACATAGTCTACTTTTTTTATCTTTTTATCCAATTTTAAATGAGAAGCATCAGGTATGGAAGTGCTGGTATTGATCAGAACCACACCTGATTTACATTTAATTTTTTGAGTCTTTTTCTGTTGATCTCTGCTGTCCCACTGGATTTCCTGTGAATTTGGTGATTTCTTTTCCTTCAAAGATATAACTTTTGCCATTTTTATTCTCTCATCTTTTTCCTGCATCATATGTTCTTTGTCTATATTTACACCATTTGAAATATCACCATAAATAGATTTTTTATGTGCCATTTTTCCTATATCTGATGACCCCTGAACTTTTGGTTGTAGAAAAGAGCATCTTGTTTTTTTAAACATAGCAGCTTCTCTTTTTATTCTTGTGTCTACTTGAGGGTATGGTGGAAAATAGATGGAAGCACAAAATTCGCTCGGAATCCCAGCTTGTTTATCTTTATCTTCCTGCATCTTTTTCTCTTTTTCTTCGATGTTCAACTGTAATTCCTGTGCAACTGGAGACTGCTTCACCTTCAAAGTTATTCTTTCAGAATGATTTATTTCTTCCAAAGCCATTTTCATTCTATCTTCATCTTTCTGGGACATATATTTGGCATTTTTAATACTGCTTAAAATATCATCACATGGTTCCTTGCATATTCCCATTGCATCTGATAATTCCTGGAGTGTTAATGACGGAAAACAGAATCTTGTTATTCCTTGCATGTATACTTCTTTTATTCCAGGACCCCATTCCAGGTTAGGTGAAGAAGGAATAGAGGCATGGGGTTTATTCTGAACTACATCTAGATCACCTTTATCTTCCTGCACCATTTTTTCTTGTCTTTTATTGTGCCAGTGTGGTTCTTTTCCATGCAATATGTGTTTAAAAGGTATCTTCTTTCCTTTAAAAATGATACATTCGAGGTCCATTATGTCTTTCACGTATACTATATTTTTTCTGTTTTCCCTCCTTTTCTGTGGCAAATGTTTTGGTTCTATTACATTGCTTAAACTATATCTATTAAATGACTCTGAAAATGATGTTTTCCTGACATTTGATGATGCCCGGAGCTTTGGTGGTAAAAAACAGCTCCTTGGTATTCCTGATTTATCTTTTCCCACTTTTATTCTTGAATTCAAATTAGAATATGACAGAGATGGTAAGGAAGTACACAAGTTTGTCAGTTTCACATCTGGTTTACTTTTACCCATTTGCACCTTGCTCTCTTGTTTTATTTGCCCAGGTATTTCCTTTTTATTCGGTACTTTTGACAGTGATGATTTCTTTGCCTTCAAAATCACATTGGGATCCATTCTTCCTTTCATATTGATTTCTTTTATTCTATCCTTCTCCTTTTTCTGCGATATATGTTTTGTTCTTTTTAAATTGCTTGAGATTATTCCATCAATTGTCTCCTTATTCAATTGGAGGTAAGGTGAAGCAGGAATAAACTCATATATATTTGCCATAACCAAATCAGGTTTACCCTTTCTTTGTTTCATAGTTACCATTTTCTCTTTCATGTTCCACTGCATTCCTTCTCTGTTGCCATAGTCAGTGATATTGTGTGTATTTGGAAATACTAATTTTTTCAACTTCAAAGTTCTTTTGGAGCATATGATGCCTTTCTTACCTCTTTGTTTTAAGCTATCCTTCTGTATTTTACTTTCAGGCAAAACAGGCATAAAGATAGAAAGAGAACGTAAAAATATTTCAGGTGAGCATACTTCTTTTTGCACATTTTTTGGATATTTCTTACATGATTGCACCTTCTTTCTAATTCTTAGCTTGGGAGAGCTACCATTAGATATTGAATCAATTACCTGTGCCCTATTTGATGATTTCTTTTCCTTTGGAAATGAAACATTCAGATATTTTGTAGTTTTACTGCACGAGTCTAAAGGCAGCATTGTATTTTGTTTTTTCATTTGCCTTGAAGGAATTGAGGGTACAATGCATTCCAGTCCATATGCAGATACAATATTTGTTTGGTCCTTAGGAAACAAGTCTGATCCTTTTGTCCTGCTTGACACATTACCTACTTCTGATAATGCTTCCTTTGTCTGAGGTATTAAATGTTGTAGAAGCCGGGGATCATTTTGAGAGTAAGAAATATGCCCCATGAAATTCTCACAGGGGGTCAACAGGTGCTGCTGTTTCTGTTCTATACTGAGTAAGTTTTGTTTTTTTTCGCTTTTGCGAGTATATCCAACTATGACACCCATTACTTTTGATGCTTCTTTAGCTTGTGAAGTTAAATACTCAGAATGCACCATATTTGTGTCATCTAATTGCATTTGTTGCACTGAGGTGTTAATTTGAAGTAGACCTGTTTTAGGGTGGGACGCAGGCTTTGGAAGAGCCTCACATGTATGTTTTTCTTGCTGTTCTCCTTTTCTTCCAATAAGTGAGCCAATTACTTCTGCACTTAGATTGTAATCTACAGTGCTAACCACTTCTTCTGATGTCTTTCTTTTACATGGTATCTTACTTTGAAATATATCCCTCAACGAGTGAAAAGGAAGCTTTGGAAAAGTCTGGTGTACATATTCTGGTTGCTCTTCTTTTCCTGCATTTGAAGTGTGGTACACTGACCTATCTTCTGACTTTAATGCTTTCTTTACCCTTGGAGGTTTAATCTGAAATATATCTATTGAAGAACGAGGAACAGATTTTGGAAGAACCTTGCATATACTTTCTTGTTGATGTTTTTTTCTTCCTTTAATATTCAAATCAATTCCTTCTGAGCACAGAAGTTTGTCCACTGGAATATCTGCTTCGTTTGATGATTTCTCTACCATTGGACTCAAAACTATTGAACTCATTCCTTTCCTTGAAACTTCCTTCTTTAGCTTTTCAATATGGAGATGATGCAATATGCAAGAGGAAATGGATTCCAGAATATTTTCTTTATTCTGGATAGAACTTTTTAGTTGCTTTGCTTTCCTTTTTTCTGAAAAGTTCATTTTCTGTATATCTGATTTTAATGGACTATTAGTTAACATTACTTGGTCTTTTTTCCATAGATTTACATTTAAGCTTATAGGGATGCTAACATTTTCTTCCCTTGTTATATTTACTGCTTGTTTCATGTGAAGAGGTTCCCTACTGGGGCAAGATGTAGGATTCAGAATACTTTCAGAAATGCGATCTAGTTTTACCTCTTTGTGTACTGCAGGCATATTTTTCTGGACCTCTAGGTTTATACGGAGAAATTTCTGTCCTTTTGAATGTTGTAAGGTATCAGTTTTTTTTAATTCTTGTCTTCTTAAAAGATGTGAAATATTTTTACTGTTAATGTACATATCTTCCCCAACTCCTTTTTCTATGTTTTCCAAGTGAGGAGATTCCATAATGGGGCGGGCAATAGACTCCGGATTTGTCATTGCAATACTTCCTTGTTTCAGCAGTTCTTGCTCTTTGCAAATCTTCTGTTGAGAAGCATCCAACTCTGTAAGAAGCGTATTCTGTCCTTTTGAACTTGAACATTCGACAACGTCTACGTCTCCTTCCTTTACTCTTGGTGCAGTAAGAAATTTAATTTCTGTATGGGTTCCACTTTGGGAGATGTCGAACCTAGTATAATTGATTTCTCTCTCCTGTGAAGATAGATCACAATATACTTCTCTTTCCAAATCTGCTACTAATTTGACATGGTCAGGTTCCTTCTTCACTTGTTGGCTAATCACTAACTGATCTCTACATTGTGAGAGAATGTCTAGTAAAACAATTTGGTGTTTTTCTTTTTGCTCTCTAATATATTGTTTCAGTGTTTTAATATTTCTTGATATAACACTCTTATTAGTGGACTGTGAAGATGACATTTTTCTTCTTAGTGATTTGTTCAGCTTTGGCTGTGGAGGAATGTGTATCAGCTTTCTTGGCTTCTCTTTCTCTTTTTTTACTTCCAAAACCCCTTTAACTTGAGATGAAATAGATTCAGCATCATTCAGAACTAAATCTGGTGCAGTTTTACCTTGCTGTAACGCCTTCTGTATCTTAATATTACATCTCAGTTCCTTTTTGTTGCTTTGGGTTCCATATCCTATAGTATCAAGCATCTGGAAATCAAGTGGTTTCTTTGCCTTCAGTTTTGCCTGTTTAGTATGCATGGTGTTTTTCATATTTGCTGCTTTTGCCTTAGTCTTATGTTTTATGATTTTAGGATACATAGGTGTGTTGGTGTAAGCAGGATGCCAGATAGTTACTGAGACATGTGGTTCTTGCTGTTTGTTGTGCAGGGCAGGGTGCCCTTGCTTTTCTAGCTCTATTCCTTCTCTTCGCTGTAATGAATCATCACACTTTATTGTATTAATAGAATGCATATCAGCTAATGATTCCTCTGCCTTTGGAATCAGAGTATTGGAATTTGCTATTTTTTTCCAGTTTACAGTTTTAAATTTTTTCTTCTGCTTTTCTATTTGAAGTGGATGTATCTTAGAGAAAAAAACAGACTCTGGACTAGACTCTTCTACAGCGTCTGTCTTTGCTTTTTGATTTATTAAATCAGTGTCTGTTTTCTGAGGAGTGATGTCCTTCGGGAGCACTGTATTAGTTAAGGGTGCTTCTGATTTGAAAGAACCTGGCTCTCTCATTTGATCTGCTCCAAACTCAAATGGCTGGGTATACTGTGGAACTGTTCCAAATAAAACCTGTTTTTCATACTCTTCTTTCTCTCTAACTTTTGCTTTGTTTAGGACATTTCTCTTTTCAGAACATTCTTCATTGATATCCCAGGTACTAGGTAAACGACTCATTTTTATGTGTAGTCGAATAGGCATAGAAGCATGTATAAATCTTAGGTCTGCATTCAATACATTTTTCTCTCTCTCTACATCTATCTTCTGTTTTTGTTCCTTATTAACGCTTAAAGCAGAATGACCTGTGACATTAAGCGATTGTGAAATCACTAGCCCTTCAACTGGCAAATCCATTTGTGCCGGTTGTATAGGACTAAACCTTGATACTCTGTTTATCTCTGTTTCCAATCTGCTTTGCTTTTTAATGTCAGAGATATCAAATGTGAAATAAATGGTATTTGGGAATTTATCAGCCACATTTTTAACTTGCCGCATCTCTTTCATCTTGATTTTAAAATTGGATCTAAGCTTTTTCCTGTGTTTTGTGATAAACTGCCTATTGATCTTAAGTATTTGTGAAATTGGTTTCTCCTTTTTCTTCATAGCTAAATATTTGAGATTCAGTATGATTTTCCTTTTTGATAATTGTACTGTTTTTAACTGGCTTTCAGAGTCAGATAAAACAGGTATGAAGGAATCCAAAGGACCCAAGAAAGTTGTGGATAAGTTTTCCCCTAACTCTGCCATTTCTTCTGTAATATGACCATTCAGAATTTTGTGAAGTGTTCTGTTATATAGAGTGCCCCTTGCTGTTGTATCAAATGAGTGTTTATCAATCACTAATTTGGGTGGTTGAATCTTAGCTCCTTGCATGGCATAGAATATTGCCTCTCTCATATTTTCATTCCATTGTTTCTCTTTTATCTTGAACTTAAATTCGTGCTGCTTTTTCTTTTTATGGATTCCTGTAAGACACCTTTTGATATTAAGCAAGTATGAAATTGGTAGTTTCTTTGCTTTTAAAGTTACATGCTTGGGACTCATACTTTTCTTGCCTACAAACTCTAACATGTGGCTCTGGCTTTTGGGTTCAGATGAAACAATGCTAGAAAAATCTAAAGGTTTTAAGAATGTTGTTACCAAGTCATTTTTATTCCATGCCTTTTTCTCAGAAACAGGACTATCTCTCTTCATCCTGTGATTTCCAACACAGAGAGTGTCACATTGTATCGAACCAGTCTCTGACTTCCCTGCTTTTGGAAATGAAGTCTTCAGATCTACCACACCTTTTATTCCTTCATGAGTATGAGGACTTTTTTTCACTGTTTCAACTTGAATAAAATTCATCTCGTTTCTAGAAACAGGCTCCAAAACAGGTTCTCTCAAGTGTTTTTCTTGCCTCATCTTTTGCACCGTATGAGACAAATTACAAGTCCTTTTGACTTCTGAACTATTCAGTTCAGATTTTGATTTGCAAGGGCCAGGATATTTCATATGATGGGCACTGAAACTGAAATGTTGGCTGTAGTGTGGAATTGATTCTAATATTTTTTGGATATTTTTCTCTTCTTGTTCATGCTGCGCATTCATTTTCGTTGTGTTGCTTGATCTGTTTTGTGTATCAGTCGAATTGGCCTTCTGTGCTTCCCTGTAACATGGTGATTTTTCTAGCTCTAGATAGGTATAGTTGTGTATTTTTACTCTTGGTTGATCCATCTCTGTGTTATACATTTCAGTATCTATTTTGTTATTAGTTGAAACAGGTATGGGAGATGAAAATGCGTTAGCTATATTTTTATCTTGTTGCATGTCTTTTCCTGCAGATTTTAAGTTGGCTTCCTGTTCCATTCTACAGCATAGATTACCATGCTCAGTGTTATTAAGCAGCTGTGAACAAAAAGGCTTGTTTGCCTTCATGGTTGCATTTATGGGACCTGTAAGGTTTTTCCTTTCTGGAAATTTTAATATCTTCTTTTGCCTTTTAGACTCAGAAAAAACAGATGTCGTGGATGTTGTTGGTAACTCTTTTTGCAATTCTTCATGTTTTTTGGCAATACAACCACCCGTTTTCCTTCTAGAGCTTTTATTAGGTAGATCTCCAAGTACTGAGTTCCCTGACTTGGTAGGTGGAATATTTTGATCAACTGTGTATTGTGTTACTTTCTGAGTTTTTATGTCTTTCTTTTCTTTTTCAGGTTGTATGGAAACTGCACTGTGAACATCCAGCTTCTTTGTAGGGCTCTCATCAGATATAGTACTGTACTCTGTTTCATCAATTAAAAGATGGTCAGACGTTGCTTTTGGATGTGGAATCTTTTCATCTATTCTATGTAGTATGTCTTTTTGTGGTGAAATAGTCTTATTCGGCTTTTCAGTTTGAAATGGAATCAGTGGAGAACAAATCGACTCTAATATATTTTCTGAAACCACTGCTTGTTGCTGTACTTCTTGCTCTGTAATAAGCATATTTTGATCTTTTCTACTTCTTACATTATTCAGGAATTGTAGACCTGATTCAAATAAAATTTCACTGCCCTCTTCTTTTTCATTTTGCCTCCTTGATTCTGATGTGTTGCTTGAGGTACTGCATTTATGAGAGGTATATGTATATAGTCTTTTCCCTTCATCTTGTTTTAGCTGTGTAATATCGCTTTTTTTTCTTAATAGCCCTTTCTTTGCTTTTACTTTATTATATCTTTTGATGGCAGGTGAAACAGGTGCAGATGAAAGAAAAGTATTTATAAGTATATTTGACATACCTAGAGATATTTCTTTGACCACGTTTTCCAAGATGTGTTCCTGTTCCTGTCCATGGCTAAGGGCACCAGACCTAGTCATATTAACTGTCTTTAAAACTGATGCCATCTGTGCTTTCCCAGTTCTAGACTTAGGGATTTGTGCTGCATTTCTCTGTCCTTTAAAATAAGATGAAGCTGGCATGGAGAAATCAAAAGACTCTACGGTTCTCGCTTGTAAATCCTTTGGTAACCTTATCTTTCTCTCTAGAATAGAACTTGCAAGTTCCTTCTTAGGGCTTTTTTCAGTTGGGATGCCACTCTGTGCTGTAACAATTAAAGATTCACTAATCGATTTCCCTGGCATTGGAGACAGAATCTTTGGACTCCCTGTATCTTTTAATCCTTTTTGTGTTTTTGTTCTTTTTGGTAGCTTCTCAGATGGAAGCGAATTCAAAATAGAGCAAGAAACAGAATGTAAAACACTTTGTGTGAAAAGTGTTCGTTGCTGCAGCTCCTGAGCAATAGTAAGTGATTCTGGGATTCTTTTCCTTGCTGAATTCTTCAGTTCTAGATGTGATTTCACAAAGTAAGGCTCCTTCCTCTCATGAGCATTGAAACTGAAGTGCTGAGAATTCCAAAGGGCTGCTTCTCTACCTTGTTCTTTGACTTCCTTCGTGCTATTTGAGGTACTGCCCCTCTTATCACTCGAACTGGCACACGAGGCTCTCTCTCCATCTGGTGATCGCTCTTGCTGTTGCAGTTCATGCCTGAATCTCATTTTCCGTGGCACGTCTGTCTCTACTTTTATTCTCTTATGCACCTTCATGTCAAGAGAAATAGGCATGGCAGAGAAAATGGCATTTAGGATTATATGTGCCACAGGTTTACCTAGTTTCATCATGGTTTTAAAGTTGCATTTGAACTGCCTTCTATGGCTTGGTGTACATTTTGTGATATTAAATGTCTGGGAAAATGGTGCCTTCTTTGCCTTCAAAGTTACACATTTGGGACTCATTTTATTTTTCTTGTGTATAAGTTTTAAATTGTTTCTCTTTGATGTAGGTAAAGCAAGTGTGGATAAATCCAAAGACTCCAGAATCGTTGCTGGTAATTCTTGCACTAATCCGTCCTTTCTCTCTGCAATAAAATCTTCCAGTACTGCAAAGTATTTTATATGAATTAAAAAGTCAATAATCTGTGATTTCAGGGTCTTTGAAGGTAGTTTTTTTAGACAACCATTCCCCGGGATATTAAATATCTGTGAAATTGGTGTCTTCCTTGCTTTCATAATAACACGTTTGGAACTCATTTTACTTTTTAAGGCTGTACATGTACATGTCTTTCTCTGCCTTTTAGATTTAGACGGATCAGGTGTGGAGAATGCCAGAGACTCCAAGACAGCTGCTTGTTGATCTTTTTTGAACTCAAGTGTCTTTAACTCTTTACGATAACTATACAGTTCCTCTGTATGGCTTCCATCACTTGGAACATCACATTTAATTGTATCCATGAAAACTTGACCACTTAGTGATTCCTTTGACTTTGGAAGACATAGCTTTGAACTCGCTGTACACATTGTGCCCCTTTGTGTCTGGTGGCCATTCTTTGGCTTCTCTACATCCACTGGATCTGTAGGTTGCATTTGTTGTGGGACGTCTTGTTCTGTAACGAACAGAATTTTCCTACCTCTTTTGTTTTCTGATTTTTGAAGGTCAAACTCCCTATTCTGGCCTGAACGGAATATGAAATGTTGGCTGTACTGTGGAACTATTTTTAATAACGTCTCCTCTTCACTTTCTTCTTCCTCTTCACCTTGAAGATTGGTTTCTTTGGTGTTATCTGAAGCAATATTCTCTTCAAGTGATGCTATCACTTGCTTTACTTGCTCAGAACTAAATCCTTTTTCTCCTAACATGTCTTCTTCTCTTTCTATCTTGCTATACCTATTAATGTCAGGTTTAATAGTCATGAAGGAGTACATTTTATTTGCCATTTTTTTACCTTGATCTCTCTCTTTCATTTTGGTTGTCAAGTTAAATCTCAATACTTTTCTGTGTTTTGGAATAGAACTACCCTTGATATTAAGTATGTATGAAATGGATGGTTTCTTTGCTTTTAAAATTCCACATTTGGGATTCACTAAAGTTTTCATGTCTGAATGTTGTTTGAAGTTTCTCTTTCTTCTGGATGTGGAAAAAGCAGGCATACAGCAATCAAAAGTCTCTTTCTTTTCAATACCACCAGCCTGTTCCTTCTGATGGTTTGCATCACATGGGGTATCACATTCTCTTACAGAAAATAGGATTTCATCAATTTTTGCTTCCCCTGACTTTAGAGATGAAAACCCAGCATAGCTCTCTAGCTTTGGAATTGCTTCTTGTAGAGTTTGTTCCTCTTCCTCTCTGTCACGTTCTTGTGCCTTTTTAAACATACATCTCTTCTCAATATATTTTGCATTCCATATTATCTTTCTATCTGATAATTTTTCTTGCTTTACCACTGAACGACTAAGCCCTATTATCCTTGATGTACCCGTTTTGGCTTTCAATTCACTGTGCATCTCTATATCAGGCGACTCAGAAATGGCAGTGTTAGTGGCATTACAAAATGCATCAGATATTCTTTTATTGTGCATATTTTTCATGTTGCTTCTAGTGTTGCATTCCAGTTTCTCACTTTCATTTAGGTTATCACATTCTGTAACAGTCAGTTTTAATGGTTTCTTTTCCTTCAGAATTACATCTTCTGTACTTCCTTTAATTTTTATATCTGCTAGCTGTTCATTGCTTTTATGTTTTTTAGTTCCTAGTGAAATGAGCAAATTGATGTCTGAAGATTCCAGAACAATTTCCAGAAAATTTTTTTGTTTTTGTGTGTTTCCCTTTGTTAAGCACTTTTGCGTTTCTGGTGTACTAGTTGGTAACTTTTCTCCATTTGAAAGTGGAAGATGGGAATTTTCTGTTCTTTTTAAGTCCTCCTGTGTTTTCATTCTTCTGTTCAATTTCATTTTAGGAGAGGAAACAAATTTCTGCAAAAGTTCTGATATAGCTTCTTCTAAAGATGTCTCATACTTTGGAATATGCAGGTCAGATGTTTTTTTACTATTTGGGGCATCAAACTCTGCAATACCAGTTTTCTTTGCCTGTGTAATTGGGTCTTTAAGAGACTCTTTATTCTTCCAGTTTGTTTCTATTAATAAAGAACAAGGTGATTTTAGTTGATGAGTACTGACCATGAAAGACTGTTCTAGCTGAGGTGAAACATTTGGTGAAATGTTTTTTAGTCCTTTATTGTCTCTGCTATACTGCTTTACATTTTTACTGTTGCCCAAGGTTCCTCTTTTCTCAATAGACTCTGCAAAACTGACTTTCTCTGCAGTTGGTGACTTATTTGGCTTCAGCAGAAAATTTCTACATCCTGTTAAACCTGGCAGGACTTTTATTAGTTTTTTTCTGGAGTACTTCTTAATATAAGGAGGAACATAAATAAGATGCAAAGCTTTATCTGATATACCTTTTCTTTTATGTAATTCTTTCTTCTTAGTGGTATACTCGCATCCTAACTTGCTACGTTTTGAAGTGTGACATAAGGTGACTTGAAATACCCGCGAAGTTGTTGTTTTCTTTGACTTTTGAGATGAAACTTTGAGATAAAATTTACTTTTACTACGTAATATTTTTCTTCTGGTTTTCTGCCTTTTAATGGCGGGTAAAAAAGGTACTAAGCCACATACAGAATAGTGGCTTAATTTTGATGAAAGAATTTGTTTCTGGCTCTTTGGCTTTACACTCTTTACGTGTGGCTTCCCTTTAGCAACTGAATTTGGACGTGGAGTTAAAACTAGAAATCTAGCATTATTAAAAGTGGTATTTTGCCCCTGCATTGAATATTTAATCTTGTTTGTATCTTCAGACCAAATAGCATATTGGGTCTCATCTAAGGGTTTATCAGATTCTAGGCCCTTGATTGAATCTTGAGTTTCAAGAGAATATGGGACTTTGAGCAAATGTTGGCTCCTCTCCATATCTTGGGTCTCGAAGGAGTCTTGGGTACTGCTGGAAGATGGTTTCCTCATCAAATCTTGAGGTGGAGCAAAGCACCTGGACTCAACATCAGGCTGACTGTTGATTGAGTCTTGGTTATTAACAAATTGTTGGGCTTGACTAGTAAATTGAGCTTCATAAAAAACTTGATTCTGAATAGCCCTTTGTCCTGAAAAAGAATCTTGTCCTTGGGCAGAAATATCCATTCTAACAAAATGTTGACTCTGAGTCAAAAAGTCTTGAGATCTTGAATACAGAGCAGTTTCACTCTCCAATGTAGCACTGGATTTTAAGGGAATTTGATTTCTTACATTTTCTTCCAGATGTCTGACTTGGTCTCTAGAAAGAAATAAATGGGCAGGAGGACATGGTGCCACATCTAGATTTTCACTTTCTATAGGGATTCCAGAAGTTCTTGAAAAGTGAAAGTCAGAGGAAAGCACTAAACTTTTACTTTTGTTGGTTTTCATTATTGAAAATAGTTTCTTTGACGAAAATTGTAATGTTTTATGTTCATTTTCTGGATTCCCTCTGTGGCTTAGAAAAACTTTTTTTATTTCTGAATGAAACAGTGACAAAGATGAGCTTGTCCCATCTGAAGATGCCATATGACTTCCACTAAAGTAACGTACTTGATATTTGCTTTCACTGGTACCTGCCCAGATTATTTCATCTGCTGGTAAAACTCTTTTTTCAATATCACATTCATTTTCATTAGATGTAACTGATGAAGTAATTGTTCTTTCTGAAAAGTCATCATCTCTGAAATACAAGAAAACAGTGTGTAAATGAATTGTTACTTAGGATATATTTTATGCAAAAACTCTCTTCTAGATTTAAGGAAACTCAATATAGTATGTGAAAACATAATGATATAAATTGGAAAGTCATTATCCACATTAGAAAATAATTCATTACCTACTTCCATCCATTTAACAAATTAATCCACTGATATGATAAACTATTTTCATAACTCAGAGAATGAGGGACTTTTACCTCAAAAACATTTTTAAAAGTCTTTTTTTACAGCAATGAGTCAAAGTTTCAGGTTAAGATGATATCCTTTTACAAGAACTGTCAGTGTGTTTCTGTTCTCTGTATGAGAGTTTTGACATGGATAAGAATATTATGGAAACTTAGTAGGTACAACAGAAGAATGGCTAATACCATAAACAATAGCATTTTATAAGTCTAGTAGTTTTCAAGTTCTCTTAACTATTAGAGTATTTATGAACATCTAATATTTGTCTGTATACACATCTTTGTTACCTACTGTGGTGGTTAATTTTATGTGTCAAGTGGACTGGGCTGAGGGACATCCAGGTAGCTGGTAAAACATTATTTCTAGGTGTATCTGTGAGGGTGTTTCAGAAAGGGAGTGGCGTTTGAATCAGTAGACTGAGTAAAGAAGATCTGCCCTCACCAATGTGGACAGGCATCGTCCAACCCACTGAGGGCCTGAGTAGAACAAAAAGGTAGAAGAGCAAATTCTCCCTCTCTTCTTGATCTCGAACATCCATCTTCTCCTGCCTTCAGACATCAGAGCTCCTGGTTCTCGGGCTTTTAGACTCTGGGACTTATACCACAGTTGTACCCGCTACTGCCACCCCAGGCATTCTGTCGTGGGCTGAATTATATCACCAGCTTTCTTGTTTTTCCAAGACTGCAGGGCTTCCCAGCATCTATAACCATGTAAGCCAAATCCTATACTCTCTCTCCGGCCGCACACCCCCCACGCCCCCCTGTCCCACTCACCCCCCGCCACCATGTGGGTATTGCTTCTGTTTCTCTGGACAAGTTCTGTCCTTACTACTTTAGCACAATTTTGGGTTAGAGTAATGATTGCAGATGTGAACTTTTCAACATCTCAAATGATTAGGAGAAGTCTAACATAGTAATCTCATTTCTAAGTGATTAGTTTAGGAATGAGCATGAGCTAATCCTAGTATAAGACATTGATTTTTAAGGACTTCTGGAAAAAGTTGCTTTGTTCCTAAGAAAGACACAGAAATAGCCTCTTACTTCCTCTGGACATTGCTGTTCTGACTTTAGAACTCTTAGGGACGTCTTCTATCTACCTCAAGATAAAACCAATATCAAGAAAGGCAGAGGGAGAGATACAGTACCTTAATGAAGTTGTTGAGCCACTGTATCAATGAATTCTGCAGCCTATTCTACCCCAGGACTTCCTATTATATGATATCATGATTCTCTTCTTAGTATGCCAGTTTGAATCATAGTTTTCTGTTACTGGAGAATTAAAATATCCTAACAAGTAGTAAGCATTCTGGGGAATCAAGTGATCCCAACAAGTTCTAGCAGTATCCAGACATAATTAGTATAACATTTCTTCAGGACAAGAGTATGACTGTTCACTTGGGGAAAGTGGAACAAGTAGTAAAAATATGCGACATAAAAACAATATTTGCACATTTCAGGAAAAAGAGGAAAGCTGAAATGCAAGACAGATATTTCGATAACGTAACATTGTGATTTTAAAGATAACAAAACAATGCTAGATAATTTTCATCTGTTGAACTAATTTTGCAATCCCACTTGATCATAGTATATAATCCTTTTAATATGCTGCTGGATTTAGTTTACTAGTATTTTGTTTTGTATCTATATTTGCAAGGGATATTGGTCTGATATCTATCTTGTATGCTTTGTATATCTATTTGACTTTCCCACTCTACATACTCTCCATTTAATGAACTTCCAAGGCATCATATTCTCCTGTTTTCCTTCTGACTCACTGGTAGCTTTTCTTAGTCTCCTTTGCTAGTTCTTCCTCTTCTTTCTGACCTTTCTGAAGTACCCCAGTGCTTCGTCTTCTCTTCTTACAGTCCCTTTGTAACCTCATCCACTCATGGCTTTTAATACTATATATGCTCCAGACCTCCAAACTTATCTTTACCAGATATCTTTCCCAAACTTCCTACTCATAGCTCTATTGAATGTGTAATCAACATCTCAAATTCAACAAATGCATAACAGAAATCCTAATCTCCCCAGGACAACCTGCTTCACCCAGAACTTTCTTCATCTCAATTGATGACAACTGCATCTTTCTACCTGCTCAAACATTTTGATTCATCTTTGCCTCCTCTCTCTCACATCCATATTCCATTGGCTCTACTTTTTTAAGTATATCCTGAAACCAACCACTTCTCACTATCTCCACTGGTATACTCCCCTGGTTTAAATTACCTTTATCTCTTATTTGGATTACTTATAATAGTCTGCCATTTGCTTAGACTCTTGACTAAATGTAGTCTATTTTCAATGTAGCAGGCAGAATAATCCTTTGAAAATATAAGACAGAACATATTTTCCTCCACAAAACTATAATGATTCTCCATTGCTACTCAGAGTAAAAGCCACTGTCTTTAACATGGCCTACAAGGCCCAGTAATGACCTGGTCACCTAGTCTTCTCTGACCTTCTATATGTCTCTCTCCTTGTGTCAGCCATACTCCTTTTTACTATTCCTCAAACATAAGGCACACTCCCCCATAAGGCCCTTGCTCTGGTTGCTTCCGCTGTCTGGAATACTCTTCCCCTATCCCTGCAAGGTTTTGGTCAAATCCCATACTGCAACCTATCTCTCCTCCCCTATTTCTGGTACCCTGATTCCTCTTACTGTATTCTATCATTGTTTTACCATAAAACTTATCACCTTCTGACATATTATATAACTTTCTTATTTATCATATCATTATTTATTATCAGACTCCCTTCCAAATAAAAAGCAAGGCAGGAATCATTGTGTTTTGCCTACCAATGTATCTCAAGGACCTACAACAATGCCTGGCATAGTAGGTTCTCAGTAAATATTTTCTGAATGGCCGGTTATCTTCAACTCTAGGTTTCTGATTGCTAACTCTCATCCACAGCAAGCTGACCCAGATATACAAGCCAGCCCTTCCTTCAGGTTCAATGAGGAGGGAAAAGCTACATATACAAACCACTCACAAATGTGACTGACTTTAATAAAAAGTTGGAGGCAGAAATTGAAAGGAGTTGATTACACCAATACAAACAACTATCACTTAAATATTAGGCTTGTTGCTCCATTTTTGAAATGTTCTTTGACCTTTCCCCACTAGGGAATCTCAACTGGCCTTTTAAAATTTAAAAAGAACTCCTCACAGTATTAGAAAAAGACTGATAGTTCTACAGCTATGGTAACAAGTACCAGAAGTGGTTGTTTATCAATTAAATCAATCAATGGCATATAATCATCATATAGCCCTATAGTTATAGTAACAAATAAACACCAAATCTGCTTTTGAACAATTTTATGATAACTTGCTTTGGGATATACACTTTTGAAACCAACCAGTCAGTGACAGCTTCAACCTTTGAAAGTCGGGTAATTGGTGGCAGACTCTCCAATGAACACATTTCTAAGGCTGAGGCCTACCGTGAAACAAACCAATCCCTTAAACCTGGTGGATATAAGATCAGCAGTTTGCTTTGGTCATTGAGACTATGCCTGGTCAGCAAGGCTCTCTCTGATTTCAGATACTGAGTGGTGGTCTCATCTTTGATGTCCTTAATGCCATTTAGTCCTGCTCCTCCCTCCTCTGCTCACCCCTCTACCTTTCTCCTCTCCCATTTCATAAGCAAAAGAAAATCCACTCTGTCTCTGAAGTGATGAACTTTGACCATTCTATGCTTGGGCTTCTACCAATATCAAGCTCTTTTATCTCAAAATAATTTAAGATGTTCTCCCAAATACAGTTCTGTCCCAAAAAGAAATCCTGGTATCAGAGTAAAATACTTTTGCTTTGTTACACATTTCATTTTAACGAATCTTTATGATATTCTTAAGAAGTAATTTTTCTAACCTCTATTTTGAAAGGAAGGAAAAGGAGGTATAGTGAGTTTGAGTCATTTGCCCAAGGCATTAAGAGAGAGAACTATGATATAAACCTAGAACTTTTAAATTCAAACTTTGTGTTTTTTCGCTACAATATGCTGCCACCATAGCGGCCATATTTCTTCCCTGAACAATCGGCCTACTTCCAATCTCTTCCCCACCAATGCTTCCTAGAAAAGTGCCACCTAAGGATTAAATTCCACCTAGGCAGGAATGAAATAATGGTACACAGAGATCGGGAAACTGTGAGGTCATCACCTTTATTCTGAAGCTGAAAATTCTTTTCTGCTCATTTCTTCTTGTGGCTTCCTCTCTTGCCTATCAATCTTCTGGTTTTTAATTACAGATAGTCCTTGACTTATGAAAGTTTAGCTTATGATTCTGTGACTTCACAATGAAAGTAATACACATAATTACATGAGATAGTCACATTTAAAATAGGCTTTGTGTTAGATGATTTTGCCTAGCTATATAGGCTAATGTAAGTGTTCTGAGAATGTTTAAAGTAGGGTAGGCTAAGCTATGATGTTCTGCAGGTTAGGTTTATTAAATGCATTTTCAACTTAAAATGGGTTTATAGTGGCATAACCCCATTGTAAGTAGAGAAGTATCTACACTTGTGAACCTTCAATACAGTGCACACCTAACCCCTGTATATCTCAAACACCGTCTCTTGGTCTGTCCAACTGACTTCTGGATAATCACTTATTCTGATGGCACTACTCTAGTTTTTGCTGGCATTCTAGTTTCCACCTAGCCCTGGCCAGAATTCTATCTATCTGTATCTCCAGATATTGTTACTGCTTCCCAGGATCCCCACCTTACAACTACAGTCACTAGTACCCAACATGAAAATAGAGCAACCATATTAAATGAATAAAGCCTTTTTATACCTGACAAATGAAAGAAATTAGACTACAATCATGTAATTGTCAGATTCATTTACCATATACCTAATACTGATCTAGCTGAAATAAAAAATGCTGTCACTCCTATACTTAGCCACCTTCAAGTGGTTACAAACTATCTTCAGAATAAAATCCAAGCTTCTTAACGGTATAGAAAGTTCCCCCATGATCTTATTCCTGCCTACCTCTTCACATTCATCTCCCACTACTCCTTGATTCAACCTTAGCATTCCAGCCACTAGGAAATAATCATAATTTATTGCACGTACCCTGCTGTTTATTTCCTTGCCTCTTCTCATCCTCCTAACCTGCTTTTTCTGACCAATTTTTACCTTTTTAAAATTCAGCTCCAGCATAATCTTCCTCATGAAGCCATCCCCAACACCCCTATGCTAGTTTAGGTATTTCCTAAATGTTCTTATAATATTTCTATCACTGTTGTTACCATACTACAGGTCAGTCATCCTTTATGTACTGTCTCCTCCACAAGCCTATAAGCTTCTTGAGAACAGAGTCTATCTTACTGTTTGTATCCTAGTACCAAACACAATGTCTATTGTACAGCTAATGATTGTTGGATGAATTTTGAGAAAAACAACTAAAATATTGATAGCAACAAGAGTAGTGATATCAGTATTTAATCCCTAACACTGATATATATTTATGATGCTGATGAATTCTGACTGTATAAACTCCTTTCATGTCACTCCTGCAGCACCTAGCTCAGGGTTTGCTTGGTTCACAGTAGTGCTAAATGAATATTTTTCCAATTGAATTATCAGTACTGCTTATTACTACTTCTTTCTGTGTGTTGGAGACAGAGGTTGGAGAGAGAGGTTGGAAAGCAAGTCACTTTAACCTCTCTAAGCAGTATTTTCCTCATTTGTAAAAAAATGCAATAATACTATCTACCCAGAAGGACAATTTCAATAATACATGAAAAGCCATTAACACAGCTTGGAACAAAGCAACCATTTAAAAATCAATGTTAGACTGAATTATGATGTTGAACAGCTGTGGTCCTCGATATATATGAAAAAACCCTTTTCCAGTACTCAGCTGTAAATTCAGTTTCAAATAGAAAAAACCAACCTGTTTCATTTAATTTCAAAATATAACAAACACTTACCTTTCTTCTGAAGATGAATGAATCGACCAGTTATCTAGAGTTAAATGGGAATAAAAACAGTCAGATCACCAATGGGAGAAGCTCAGGCTGAATAAGTTTTATATTAAAATATGAAATTGTATATTTACCAAATGTCATGCTTGTCAGAGAACTGTCTTCATTCTATTGCAAGGGAGACAATAAAATGTTAGAGTAATCCAAATATCAAATTTGCACAATTTTGTTATTATGTGTGGTCTTGAAAAATAGGAGAGAAGGAAATCAACCATTGTTTCTTACCTCCTGGGCATCTGAACTACCCTTTTCTGGAAATGCAAGCTTTTTCCGAAAGGATGTACAAATTTTTACAAGTATGATCTCAAAAATAATTCCTAGGAAAATTATAAAGAAGATTGTCATCCAATCATTTTGAGTCCAGGACTCTAGACAGTCCCATAATGTCAAAAATGTATTGTCTTCCAATCTGTCTCTCACGGCTTTTTTAAATAAATAAATTTGCTTTGACATTTTTATATAACATGTGAAATAGATTGATATCTCATTCTGAAGTCCTCGATTTCAGATGCCCCAAAGCACAAAAAGGTCGCATGCTCAGCTCAATAACCACATGCAACGCTCCGCCAGAAAAAGTTTCCAGTGCTGCTGTGTCTTATCAAGGGCAGCAGTGATTGCTCTTGGCCTAAGTAAAGTGACGTACGTGTCATAGTGGGTATTTAAGTGAGCTCATATCAGCTTACTTTAGCAATAATTGAAGTTCATTTGTGAGGCATGCATGGTGCTGTAAGTAGTTTTTTATTAAAAATTTTTAAATAATCCTATTAATTTCACAGACACAATTCTATAAACAATCCCTTAGCACAGTTGGATTTTCACTGCCCTGTAATTAAAAAAAAATGTAGAACAAATTTGAACTGGATATAACCATTTTTTATTACCATTAGGAATAGTATATTTTATGCTTTGTGATCAGGGAAATATGAATGTAGGGTTGCCAGATTTAGAAAACAAAATTCCCCAATTTAATTTGAATTTTAGATACATGCAAAATAATTTTTTAGTATAAGTATGTTCCATTGCTACCATGTGGGACATATGATAAACTTGTCTCTTGCAGGCCTGCTTGATTTTTTTTCCATTAAAATATAACATCTCATTTTATATTTCTTTTTGTTAGATGGGTCTGTTGGCAATATTCCTCTCCAACAATCTACTGTTATGATGAAAACCAGTTAGATTTTGTAATGGTCTGGCGAATTCCTTTTCACCCTGTCTCTGGTGATTCCATGGAGTAGCTACTTGTGATGCTTCCTGATGTCAGAATTAGGGTGGGGCAGAGCCAGATTTAAGTCCTGCTCACTTTTCCTCAAAGTCTAGAGAGTAGTTTAGTCACAAGTAGTAAAGAGAGTATGAACTATTAATTAAAATGTTAACACTACCTTGGATTTACAGTACTTTTCCTTTGAAGATGTAATTAACACTTCATCTTCACTTATTCAAGGTGGGTGGAGGAAAGAAATATGTCTTTAAACCAGAGTTAACTGTTTAGGCCTCTTCTGTCACTTGTTTAACTCAGTACAAGAAGGACTGATGGGGCTCTTACTTTCTCTGAGTGTTAAAGACAATGAAATCAAAGACATATCCTAAGTGTCAAGAGTATAGTCTTCCAGTCTACTGGACCATAGCCTCCAAGTAGTTATGATCTTTATCTAGGTTTAACTGTGATCTTGGAGTTTGACTTTGCAAAGAATAGCCTTCCAGAATGCATGGTAGGCATTACTTCTAGAAGAAACCTCAGCAATTCTTCTGGATTTTTCTAGGGTACTTTACATCTTCCTCTCTGACCCTCCCTCCAACCCCACCGCCATGCCATACACAGTTGGGTGATTTTACTCTGTTTTTCTATAAAATTTAATGCAGCTGGCAAAAAAATTTCTCTTGCCTATGGCAGACATTCTTTAACTCATTCAATGTTAAATACCTTAAAGGGGATTCCAAGTCTTAACCTTTTACTCTCTGGTTCCTTAGATCTTTCAGAGATTTATGGCACTGAACTCCTAATTAGTATAGCACTGTATAGCTCTTAGAACTGAAAAGGAACTTCTGTGTAACACTCCTGCAGATGCTTATGTGCAGAGAGAAAGAGTACTCCCTCCAGGGCCTTGTCATTTTTGTTATTTATGTACTTGCCTACTAATAAATGTACAATTACTAATTTTCAGCATAGACACTCTGTACTTTGGACTAGAAACTTATGTCAATCTCAATTGAGCATCGAAAGTAAATGCTAATTTTTAAAAATCACAAAAAAAAAATATCGTTGAAATCCCATTACTAACAGTAATATACACTATAACACTCAAAAAATATTCTATTAAAGTTAAAAAAAATCTATTATACCTACCCATGTCACATTCTTTGAACTGTTTGGACATTGTGAAATAGGTTTTTGTTCTTTATGTATCCGGAAAAAGTCCCAGTAATAGATGTATAAACAGCAATATAAAACCAGGATTGCTCATATGGTTAAAAACTCTTTCTGTAAATATCTTAGTTCATTACAACAAATATTTATTGAATAATGAAAGCATAAGACACTGAATAAGTAACTAAAAAACGCAATATGGATACAAAGATGAGTAAAAACTATTCGTAGGGTATGTAATTAAGTGGTATTAAGCAAATGTCAATTAACTTACTGATAAGGTAGAGTGTGATTAAGAACAGAGGAGAATATTATGTGGGTTCGAAGGAGAGATACTTGGTTGGGGTAATATGAAGAAAGCTATAAAGAGGGAAAAAGAATTTAAAGTCTTAAAAGATGAGCAGAATTTGGTAATAGGCAAAGACTAACAAAGGCTTCAGTTAGAGGAGACAAATATAATTGTTCCAAAACCTTGTATTGTCCACATTAGCTGGAGTACTGTGTATAGGTTCAGAGTATGGGGGGAAATAAGGCTAAAATGTTGATAAGGCCTATGTGGGGAACCTTGAACTAAGGACTTTAACCTTAATAGTCATCTTTGGAGATCCACCAACAGCTTTTGAGTTGGAGGTGTCAAATGATTTAAGCAAGAAGACAACAAAATAGGAAAATCAATTAGGCTATTGCAATTATACAGATGAGAAATGGAGGGCCTGAATTAGTGACTAAATTTACTATAAGTGTTGTTTTCCTTTTTTAAAGATGACATTCTTCTGCAAAATTAGAGTACTCTCTCAGTTGCACAGCAATAAGACAAAAGTACCACTGTAACAAAATTCAAATGTTTAATTTTTTCCAAAACTTAACTATATTAATGAAAATAAATTATATTTAGACCATCTTCAATATTTGTGCATCATCTTTATAGAACTATGCTTTCAAAAGACATTTTGTAAAAGACATCAATTTCACAATTAAAACATATTAAAAATGGGGAACATTAAAGAACATTAAATTAGTAGGAAATATATCTCAATGTTGAGAGTTACACTGTTCTTTATCAAATTAACTGTATTTGTATTCAAAATAACATGGCTTTTAACTAAAGACAATTATTTCTTGTCCATTTCAGTGATTTCCTGGATCCAAAACAAAATCTGTGTATTTATTTCTTTGAAAACATCATTTGTTGACCGTCCTTTCACTGCCATGGAATGATTTGCCTTCTCAATCCAGTGGATTTTATTAGGAGCTTGCATTTTCTGTGCCACTTTCTCCAACAAGTTCTAAAGGAAAAAAAGAAAAGGATACTAGACTAATGCTGTTGGTGTCTAATAAAGATTCTCTCTTTCCTGCCCCACCAACACTAGCATCCATCTACTAAATACTTATTAAATACCTACTCCACAAATAACTTTTGAAGCAATGGAATGTGCAAGGAAATGCTCACCGAAGTGGCAGGCACGCCACATCTCTCAGATACACAGCAATATTACAGAATAGATCAAACACTCACTACTGATGATAAAAAATAGGTAAAATGGAGCAAAAAAAATTTTTTCTAAAATATTTTCACCAAGGAAATTATATGCCCTGAGAAATACACTAGTGTTTACTAATACGTACAAGTTACTAATTTTCTCAAGAATCAATTTTATCAAAAGTTGAAGAATCTGCTTGAATGTTGAAATGATAAACCAAGTGTATAATCTAGTAATCCCCAAATCACAAGAGTCAGATTAATCCTTTATTTCCCAAGTAACAGTAAAACCATTTACCAACTCTCTAGAGAGATGAATTTTGTCATTATGCTTATATTTTTAGGTTCTCCAAAGCAACAGGGTAATTAAGGCACAAAACTAGCATTAGTCAAATCAGGATCTTTTTAAAGAGACTGAATGCTGCTGGTAATATACTGTTCCCAAGTCATTTCTTTTTCTTTCATTCTTTCTCTCTCATTCACACAAATATCAAGTTATAATTCACCTTTTCACACATTTCATCTGCTGAGCCTGACACAAATAGTACAGGATCTTTTATACGAAAGAGATCTTCATCTCTAAGTTTATGCTGTTGCTTTGGATGGTGCAGTGGATAAGAAATACAAATGAGACCTCGAACAAAATCATCAGCATCATCTGGCTCACTATGACACATTACAGAAGCAGCTGCTCTTGAGCCCATTGAACGACCTAAAATCAATTAAAATTAAGTTCAGTTTGAAGTATAAACATTCACATAAAGTAGTGGTGATAATGTGTCAAATTAGATTTACTGTTCATCCATCATATTTGTATATCAACAAATTACTTTACTCCAAAAGGTAGCAATTAACAAGGTGCAATACCCATAATGGACATCTGTAGCCTTGTGAAGAGTTAAACTAATCCTAAGTCATTTTTTTAAAAAGGAATTATTTTTCTGAAGGATTGTGAGGATAATCTTTGTGAAGGAAATCATCTGAGAGGGTAAACAAGGGTTATAAACAAAAGGAGAAATCTTTGGGTTACAATACATATATATGAAGTTTAAATTGTTTTATATATATAAACTACCTTAATATTATACGGGAAGTAACTTATTGAAACTAAACAAAAAATCCTTATTTTAGGTGCCTATCATCAATTAATTTTAATTCTCAATTACCTATTCCTATATTATTAGTAGCAGATTTAAAAAACAAGTACAAGTATTGTAACTTACCTCCAAGGAAAACACCTGCAAGCTTGTATTCTCCTGAGGTCTTCAGGTAACTCTAGAAAAATCAACCAAAAAATTATCAAATTTTCTCCTATGAAATATTTCACTGGAAAATCAACATATATTTCTCATCATTACTGAACTGCATGAAAATCTTTGCAAAGACACCCACAAAATCTTAAAGGATTCTTCTTGAAAGAGCTAACCAGTTCTTTGCTCTTCCAGTCATGCTTTCACTATCAAATCATGTTGGGTAATACTAGCAAATATGTGAGCAAAAAATCACTTCACCAGTCTAAAAAATTCAAGTACTAAGATATTTTTAAAGAATAATGTAAAAAAGAAAAAGGCCAGTAAAAGCTTACAACTAATACAAAATTTGATAATAACATCTAAAGTTCTGAAAAACTTAACAAGCTTGATATAATTTGTATTAAAAAATTTCAGATTTGCTTTATCCAGGAATTTTACAATTTCTAAATAACATATAAAGAAAACCAAGCTATATTTGTACATTCATATGCATGATATCCAGAACTATATTCTAGTAAGAAAATTACATCATAAGAAGCTTCCTTGGCAGTATCATGGAGGAACATTTACGTTGTGAGCTTTCATCTCCATGGAAACTTCATGAACTGCTGAAGTTTTAATACTCATTTAATTTTAAATGACTTCTAACAAAATTTGCCTTAAATTTATTAAGAATTTTAAAATATAATTCTGTTATAAATATAAAGAAATTTTCTTACCAAAACGGATTTATATGCCTTAATTCTATGTACAATATTAAGGCCTTTACAGGTAAATCTCAGGCAAAAAAACCCATGAGATGCAAGATGGGATGCCAGTGACATCAAATGAGGAAGATTCATATCTCCTGATGCTCCATGTGTAAGAATTATTCCATATGTTAAGCTCTTGTTAGGTACCAAACAAACAGCATCTAGTAACTTATTTCCAAAAGGTATTTTTAATTTAACCTAGAATTCAAGAGAATAAAGGGATCAAAAATTACTTCCTTGCTTATTCAGACAGCTGAATAACTATATGTTTGTTCTGCAAGATGCATGATTCAAGTCAATGATTCAAAAGCAATGATGTTAATAACAGCTAATATTTAAGAAGTACTTATTTTGTGTCAGGTACTATTATAAGTTCTTTATATGTATTAATTCATTTAACCTTTCTAATAATTCTATGAGGCAAATATTATTATCTCCATTTTACAGATGAGAAAACTGAGGCACAGCAGGCTAAGAAACATGTCCAAAGTTATATATAGCCACTAGCTAGGATTCAAACTTAGGCAGTCTGCTCCAGAGTCCTTACTCTTAACCACTAATGCTATACTCTCTCTGAGTACAAACTGAAAATAATAAAATTACTCTGGAGCCATATGACTAAAAAAAAAAAAAGGAACCCTGAAGATGCAGAACATATGAAAATATGTATTACCTCTGTATGACTCATTTTCACTGTTGAATAACAAACTTAAAGTGCATTACATCTGAGAAGCAAAGGACATCTCCCTGAAAAGAAGATTCTGTTGTGAAAGGTGGGTTGGCAGACATAGGTATGATACAAGAACTATGAATGAACACATTCAGTAGCTGAAATAAACACATTTAGAACTTCTTCTCTAAGACTGGTATCTTTGCATGTGCATTATTTAAGTATTTTCTAGATTTCTATGGGCACTCAGAATTGTTTATAGTGCCAGGTGTGGAGCTGGCAGATGTTATATAACAAAAAGCCAATGTAATACCTTAACATGGAAGCTTTAAGAAAATTCATATCAAAGTAGGATGCTGTATTTTTGTATGTAAATACATATTTTTTCTAAGCATCTTTATTCTCAATCATCTTTAACAATTTCACAGCATCTATTAACCCATTTCCTTCATTATTACTGTTCTCAACTTTACTTCTCACACTGCAATAGGAATATACATCCATATACCTTTGTCACGTGACTTTGCAGAGCCCCCCAGTAGTGAGTGTACATCTCCACTCCGTTGACTTTGGGCTTGGATATGGGACTGGCTTTTACTAATGAAATAAAAGTTTCAGTGTTCCACTTATGAACAGAGACATGACAAATTTACACAGGCCCTCTTGAATGCTCACCCTCAGCCATCAGAAAAGCAGGGTTTTTTTTTTTTTTCCCCAGCCTGGGCCCCAGAATAAAGACATATGGAGTAGATCTGAACCCAACACTGAAGTCTGAATGAAGTCCAGCCTAGTCTAGCCAAGATCTACACCATTGAAGAACCATAAAATTTTGACCTGAAGAACCAAGAGCATGAAATGTTGTAAGCCACTGAGATTTTGAGGTTGTTGTGCAGTATTTCTTCCTATTATAAAAGATCTTTTATTGTTCAGGATATTATCAACATCAGGATCTCCATTATTCGTCTACTTTTTCCATGACCATTTATTTATTCATTGAATAGTAACATGGTTCAAAGTTCAAAAGGTTCCCAAAATCCAGTGAAGTCTCTCTCATTCCACATTTGCCTTGCCACCCAGATCTCCTCTCCAAAGGAACCAATATTACCTTCTTGCATCTCTTTCCAGATATTTAAGAAACACACACATCCTTCCTTTTTGTTACAAACTGACTCTTTCCTCCCACTTAACATATCTTCATGATTACTCTCTTCTTTATAAAATGAGCTTCTTTCATTGTTTTTATAGCTAAAGAATATTCCAAGGAATGAAAGAATAATTTATTTCACTATTAATGAACCTTTTGCAAAAACATTATTGCAATGAGTGACATTGTACTTATTTTCGTATGTGTGTAGACATATCACTTGTGATTCATTTTTTAAGGAATACATTTCATTTTTGAATGGGTAATACATGCATATGGCACAAAATTAAAAAAAACCAAAAATATAAATAGTTAAGTCTTCTCACATTCTTTTCTCCCAGCCACCAAGTTCCTTTCCCTTCCCGTAAGAAACCACTGCAATCAACTCATCGTATCTTTCGTTATACATGTATGTGTATGTAGAATTCTCTTATTTGAACCTGAAGTATACAGTCTGGCTGTGAAAGTTCTGGGATTTGAGTGGAGGAGGATAAAGCACTTCAGTTTCTGTCTCCCTGTTTTCATAAATGTAGCCCCATAATTAACCGTGCCAGGGGTCCCTCGGTTCAAAGATCCTGTTTTATGGTCTCAAGAGACTAGCTTCCAGTCTTTTAATGGGAGTCACCTAACAGTGTGAAATGGGCAGAAGGAAATATCTAATTATTTCTCAAATAGATTTCACCTAAGTTATCTTTATTGCAGCCCTCCACATCCATCCTCAGCACCATTATCTTCACTGTCAGTTCCCAAAGTGTCCAGTGCTGCTGGTTTTTGTGCATTCTGAAGAGTTGGTGGTTTACATATAATTGTTCCACAGTATTCCCTGTTGCTGGTTCAGAATTAACCTAAGATTTGTTAAGATATTTGCTTCCTAGTGTCCAATATTTTATTGCTGTTTCCTTTCCCATTCTCTCCATCCTTTCTCATATCTTAAAAAAAAAAAAATCTTTATTGTAATTTTTGTGAGATTTCAGGAGGGAGTAAAATTATACATGTATTCAATCCACTATCTTAACCCAGAATGCTCTACAATTCCTCAACGATTTGGGTTTTTGTTTTCAGGAAAATTGTACTCCCTCCCAGACTTCATGATGAACAGTCTGTTCTTCATAGCTGGTAACATGTTCTGGACTACTTGAAAACGCTGAAATTGTTCCAAGATATAACCCCACCCGAACCTGGTCTAGACAGTCTAGGTTATAATCTCTGGTTTTGGATTCATATAGGGCCGGATTTGAAACCTGGCTCAGCTTCGATATCTTCAACTGCAAACGGAGAAAGCACCACCAACCTCATAGAGATGCTGTGATAATTGGCTGATAATCCCTGTTCTGTATTTTATAGTGCTCCAACATCATCAGCATTCGAGTAATTTTTATGATTACTAATACTCAGAACGCAAAAGCAGTCACATCTTATGCTGAAGAATCAAAATGCCACAACTGCGCTGTAACTTTCAACTAGAAAAATGCTTGTGCATTATCTATTACTTCGACAGCAGTACGTTGGAAGTCATGGGATAAACAAAAGCGTTACAAGTTCACGTCTTCCAGGACAGTCGATAATCTGGCCGGATCAGCGACAAACACCAAGCGATACGAGAGTAGAAGTGCGAAGCGGAGTCTCTCAGAAGTTTGGGCTCAAACGCACCAGAGAAACCGCTTATTCACTCAACTGACGCGCGTGCGCAGGGGCTGTGCGGTGGCCGTTCCGAGGACCCAGCGCGACCCCTCAAAGCTCGGAGGCTACTTCGAGCTAGCCGCCGGTCACCGGCTCGTGTGACCCAGGCTGGACCTGTTTGGCTCTGCCCGCCTGCACGGTTTCCACTTTCCAGCCTCATAATCGCTCCTGTGGACGAAGCCCTAGCGGTCGGAGCCCCAGCGGCCGGTGCTCGCAGGCACCGAACTTACATAGAACGCCTCACGAAGCCGACCAACGACCCCTGAAAGGCGACGGCCGCGAGCCCGAAATGTCTCAGGCGGGGACGCCAGGCTCACTCGCACTCCCTTGGGAGATAGTTTCCCGCATGGCAGCGCCAACCGCCGCCGCCGCACTTACCGGGTAAGGGAAAGTAGCCAGGAGCACCCAACCGCCCTCACTCCCTTCAAAGAGCAAACTACCACGCTCGAAGGGACCGCCTCGCCTTACCCGCCAGAGCGTCGCGCTACAGCGCATGCGCGCGCAGGCCCCGCCCCTGAGCGCGCAGGCCGGCGCGCGGGGCAGGCTGGGGGCGGGAGTTTTCCCGCCGCTGTTCGCGGTGGCAGGGTCCGGTCTGCTTGAGAATTTGCGGGTGGCTGACAAGCAACCTCCTGTCACTGCCTTGCTGCCAACATGCTCCACTCTGAGCCCTTCCCCCATCCCAGCCATATCATTCTAACAGTTGTGCAGCTTAAATAACGTGGGGTCAGCTCTCATTCTTTTCCTCACAACCCACAATTAGTTGATCTGTTGGCTCTATCTGCAAATATATACAGAACCCAACCACTTCTCATACTTCTACCAGACCGGTCCGAGCCCCACCATCATCTTTATTGAAATAGTCTGCTCGGTGGTCTCTTGTTCCTCCCTCCTCTCTTCTCTATGTTACCAACAAAGCGGCCAGTTGAGCCCTGTTGAAATGTAAACCCGTTGGCTCAAAACCTTCCAAAGGCTTTTCATCTGGACCAAAGTTAAAGGCTAACGGCCTTGTAATGAGCACCAGTTTTATATAGTCGGTCCTCTCACTTCCTGTGCTTCTATTTTCTAGTCTCCTTTCCTTGGCTCCTTCAGTTCTAGGTGCCTAGGCCTCACATCCAAACCCAGCAGACAAGCCCAGACTCCAGGGCTTTCGTCTTGGCTATTCCCTCTTCTTGGAGAAATCCCAGTGGCTAGCCCCACATGTGCATGTCTTCACTCACATGTCATTTTCTTAGTGAGGCTTTCCCTAAATGCCTCTCTCAAACACTTCCTATCCTTCTACCCTGGTCGCCTAACATATTCTGAAGTGTCTGTCTCCTCTCTGGACTGTAAACTCTCAGGAAGTCCAGATGTTTTGTTTTTTTTACCTTGAATCTCCTGTGTATGAACTGATTCCTGGCAAATCAATATTTTTTGAATAAATGAATCTTCCTCAAGCCCAGTGCAGTTGGTAATTGCCTTTTCTGTCATAGCATATGAAATAAAATCCAGACAACTACATTATCGCAAGTGTTTTCTTGAATTACAAATCTTAGCATTTCTTGTGTCCGAATTTTCTATCTATGCTTTTAAAAACAACTTTATTTACATGGCATAAACTCCACTCTAAGAGTACAATCCAATGATTTTCACTAAATTTACAACCAACTGCATTGGAGGATGGGAGATTCTTGCTAAAAGGACTTAGCAGGTTCTTGCTGTAACTGGATTTTATAAGGAAGAGCACCGTTGGGGCTTAGAAGGTTCAGGAGTCTGACTAAAGTTTGTGAAGCAAAGAATCTTTGTCAGTAGTTACATGGGTGTTTTCTTATAATTATTTTTAAGCTGTAGATATGTGTTTTATATATTTCCATATATACAATCCACAATTTAAAAAAGCTGCTAACAGACTACTTAATTGGAAGATGGATGGAAGGGAAACTATTAGGTAAAGGAATTTGTAAAATATATTATGGTTCAGTGTTAGAATTTCTAGTTCCTTTTTAATTCTCTTAATCACATTTCAAAGTGATTTCATTCATTCATTCATTCATCCATTCTACATTGAGCCTTTCTAGTTAGTTGCAGACACTCTATTAGATTAAAAGAAGAGCATGGTCTCTGTAGTCATGTTACTTAAAATCTGGTAAGAGAGAGAGACAACCAATTAGATCACTACCACATAGCATTGTAAATGCAATGATACAAGTATGGGGAGATTCAGAGTGGTGACTCCTAAAATGAGCATTGAAAGCTATCTAAACCAAAGTAAGAAGAGAGGGTCACAACATTCCAGACCAAGGGGAAAGCATATATAAGGAAGGTTAGACACAAGCCATCAAAGAAGGGTTAAGGTGTTGGTTTTGCTAGACTACAGGGTACATATTAGGAAGTGGTAAGAAACTTTATTAAAGATTTTATTAAAGATGAAAGGTCTTGTAGGATGAATTAGTTAGAATTAGTTTTGGCTGTGAGTGACTGACATCTAAATAGTGTAAACAAGACAGAGGTTATTGCTTTGTCATGTAAACCATGTGTCTGGGTAGGTGGTGGCTGCTGTGATGCTCTAAACTGAGTACAGGACCCAGACGCTCTCTCTTTTTACTATTCCATGGTCCAAATATAGCTAATAACACAGCTCTTTAAAATAAAAGTGATTTTATTATAAAATTCTAAAAATGTGCTTTAAAGGACAGTCATGAGAATACTGCATAATAAGAAACATATCTTCTTAACCCAGACAATCACATAGATTTTATACTGTCCACAGAATTAATATTCTAAAAAAATTCTTCTTTTCAGTTAAGAAGAGTCTTCAGAGCACCATTATTTGAAGGGAAGGTATTTTGCAAATCAGAGTTCATCTTTGGTCTGAAAATAAGAAGTAAAATATTTAGAGCCATTGAGAAGTCATATATGAGTCAGGAAGACTTACATTAGTCTATAAAATGTTATCCCTTAAAGATGAAAGAAGAAAAACAGTCAAGTTACTTGAGACTTGTAGGGTTGAGGATTATTTTTGGAATCACCTACGGGTAGAAGCACATTGTGTTTTATAGGGCTACTGATGTGGAACCTGAACATCTAGGGGTTTATTATAAAGGGTTTTGTGTCATGAATGGTATCAGTGATGGACTAGGGTAGACAATAAAGAAGAAATACATGAAGCTATCATTCTAACCCCTAACTTCTATAAATCAGTAGAACCATTTGACAGGCCTCAAAATCACAAAGATAAAAAAAAAAAAAAAAAAAAGAAGAGTGGAGAAAGGAAGCTGCCTAGTTTCATTTGGTATCAGAAACATTCTGATACCAAATCATGAACTTAATGAAAGGGTACCTTCGATTCTGGCAATTTTAGTTTTCTTACTGGCTTTAACTAATTTGATGGACTTGCAGCACTGTCAGGGGTTAAGGTTCATGATGTACCACTTCTGAGGGCTAGTTAGTGGCAATCAGTTCTCAAAACGAGACAAAAACAAAACTCTGATTTGTAGCATGTGCTGTTGTCATGGTATAAATACTCCCACCAAGTAGATTCCAAGCTACCAAAATTTAACCACTGTGCAAAATTTCTAAATATTTAACAATCATAAGCTTATATGAGCTGGTTCCACTACACCAGTGAGCCTGTGGTTACCTTATTCCTTTTAAATCCCCTTGAAAGGCAGACATAATTGCCAAACTTGCCTTCTCATTTTTGGTTACAATAGCACAATTTTGAGTTTATCCATTCAGAGACATGATGATGAGGGTATAAAAATGTCAAGCCAGTAATGTGTGTGTGTGTGTGTGTGTGTGTGTATGTAAATATATATAACACAATTTTATACAATATATGATCCTACAAACAAAAAATAGCTATAATGAAAACAACCCTCCTTTATCTTTATACACAACCATACATACTATTTGAAGATGAGAGACTTATTTTTGGTCCTTGCTTTGCTATAATCCAGCTAGATGATTCTGAGCTAAGTTCCTTGGGCTCAGTTTTGTTAACTGTAAAATGAAGGCATTTTACTGGATGACCTCTAAGTTCCTTTTTAGCCTGACAAGCCCATATATGAATCTTCTAGTATGGAGTGATATCAACGGAGATTGTTTTTCAATGAATAATCTGTGAACATGAATAATCTTGGTTATATATTTTTCCATCTCTAAATTGGAATGATGAACTTTCCTGACCCTATCTCACGGGAAGATGAGGCTATTAGATGATGAACGTAAAAATATTTTTCAAACATTAAACATCTATTCAAATATCATGTGATCTAAATTCTCACATTAAAAAAGGTTTTCCTCTATTTTGCTGGGAGCTCTTATTTAGCTGCATCTTAGCTCTCTTTCTTTTGCCTTATTATTACCTACTATATCTCTGTGGTAGAATGAATGCTTGGAGGCTCCAGGAGAAACTCAAATAATTGTTGTCTGACTGAATGACTTAAGGAATGAACGAAGACTTGGATCAAGTTAGTTTTTACTTTGACATTGGTCAGTTCTTGTTACCTTTTTCCTAAGGCACGTGCAAGGAAAGAGGTCATCCTCAGACTGTGGCTCTACCCTCTTCATGCCCTCTCGGATTTGGGGTTCACTCACTTGTAAACTAGCATATTCCTATAGAGACAACAATACAAAAGCATTCCTTATGTAATGTTTAAAGTACATTTACCAAATTAGTTATGCTGGAGTTTGCTAGAATATGATATGGTCCACTTAAGTCACATATGTCAAGTTGCAATATGCAAACACCTCTACATTCCTCTCAAACACTCAATAACAGAGCTTCTGAGAGGTACCTGTCCTTGGACATTGGCTGCCTATTTCTATGTGATCTCCTTATTCATCCTTCATTTATATGACTTGTATTTATTTTTTTACCTCCTTTTGCCTTGTAGTAAAAATAACTGTGTACATGATCTTCCCAAGAAAATTTGAGGACAGAGACTATTTCCATCTTACCTACCATGGCTTGCATAGCATTGGTCACCATCTTCATTCATTATGTGCTCCCTCTGTGCCCAGCTAGGTGCTTATGCTTTAGTGTATGCGAGTTGAATGAATGAACACTACCCTGTAGATCTTTAGTAATTTAGATAGTAAATCCCCCCACTCCTTCGGTTTACATATTTCACCTTCTCTATACCTTCACCGTCCTCTAGGAAAGGTTATAAAGGGGAAGAGGCCAGTGCAGACCAGAAAAAAGACCAACTCAGTTTTGTAGCAAAGCCCAAGGTATGGGGCCCAACATCTGAAATTTTGAGATTTAAAAAACGTTTAATTTAGATCTACTACTATTATTAGCAAATTACTTGTTTACTGTTGCATTTTTTAAAAAAGGAAACTTTCAAATTGTCAGATATGCTTTGATTACAATCCCTAAATGCTTAGGTCCATGCAAACACTTTCCAAGAGAAGTCATGGCTCATATGGGGTCAGCACAACAGTTCTAAACATACTTTGCACTATGTAGACAAAGAAATGGTAAGGCAGCAGCAGTATTGTACAAAGATAAAATATACATCCAAGTTCAG